CTCATTAAGTGCTGCGCTGCTCGGCTTCAATTCCCATTTGGTGTTTGCGGCTGGATCTTGAATGTGCTCTTTCAGCTTCCAATGCTATTTCTTTTTCTTTTTTCTTTTTTTTTTGTTCCTCCCACATGTAAATAACAATTGTGTGGGTTCCATTCCCTTGTCTTTCCTTTTCAGTTTGACTGTAGGACCCTTTTAAGGGATGGATGAAGAAAAAGATTTCTTAGGGAGCGTCCCAGCAAAATGAGTTGGTTATGCGATGTGATCAAAGACATCTGAACTATGACTGAAGCATACTTTGCAAAACAGAAGTGATACTGTGGTCAGTGGAAGCATTTTGAAAAACTGGCAGTCCTAAATTTGCCTCCTGTAGAAATCACAAATCCACAATTAGTTGACTGATTGGTTAGATGGTAACAGAACAGATTCTTGGATTAATAATTACGCTGAGTTTTTATACAGCGGCATGTGTAAGATCTTATCTAGTTGACTGGGGAGTGTTGTATCATGACCCTTTCATTCCGGTTTCATCACTGTGGCAATTCAGTATTCATGTCATGAGGTCACCAGTGTTAAATGTCAATTCTATCATAGAATTGTCCTGCTATGACTCACTCTGTACACACCTCTGTATAGTAATGATGATTAAGTTCCATCTATGTGGAGGCTAGTCTGAGAACATCTCTAGCAGAAACCACTTGAGAACTCTCCACCGCATAGTCCAACACTCCATGTTTATTGACTTTTTGTTCTTTGAAGATAAACATACAGCAAAGTGTGTGTGTGAGATTACACACACGCACAAAAGATGTGTGATAGTTTTTTTGTTTTTTAAAGGAAACCTTGCTATACCTGAACAACATACTCAACTGCACATGCTTCTTTTGAGGGCAGAATGTGTTAACTGTACTGTTTAATTAAGATGGTTGCTGTAAGCCTGGTTTAAGAGTTGTATAGGCTAGAATTGCTGGCACTTTTCAACTGTTACACAGAGACTGGCATGTACTCCTCAGTCTTTATCAGGTGTAAATTCAGCATGTGCAAGTGATGCAGTTGCTAACCTGTAGCATGCCTGCTGCTAGTTATTTTTCACTGACTGTGATGTTTGCTTGGAGTCTAAAAACTGTATGTGGTTCTGTTTTTCAAATGTTGTAGCCTATAATGCAAGCTAGCAGTCCCCTTTAACACTTGAATCTTACCCGACTTCCATCTGCTCAGCAGCTATGCTTTCACACTCAACTGTCCATGTTTCCTTCCAGCAGATAATTAAGTAGGAACCTTGGGACTCTGGTCTTTGCTTCTTACCAGAGGAATCTTTATAATTCAATAGGAACTGCCATTTTATTGACTCAAGTACAGTCTTATTTCCCCTATTCATAAGATCTAGGTGTGCTTCTAAAAGGATGCTTGCAAAACCAGAAAACAAGGTGAAAAGGGACATCAACAGGTAATCAGCTTCATTCGCCAGCTGAAAGGCAGGATCATCTGTAATCTTACAGATTACAGAAATTACAGAAACTTACCAAAACTTTTTCCTAAAAACTTCCATGATGGAGGTTACAAAACGTATTTGTGCAAGGCCTATTCTAATCCTTACCATTAAAAAGTCTGATGAGCTGGAGTATTTTCTTTTGCTATATATATGTATTTTTTAATATCTAATTGAAATTTCCCATGTTGCAGTTTTAAGCTTCTTATTAGTTGTCCTGTCTGCTGTGGATGTAAAAATTGCTCTCATTCTGTGTAGCAACCTCTTGCACCTTTGAAGAGTGCACCATCACATCGATTCCTTTGGGGGTGGAGGGGGGGAAATCTTCAGATAAGCTAGTTAAATAATTTCTTTTTTTTTTTTTCTTCATTAGAGAGCTAGAAGCCATGATCATCATGCTCGTTTTTTCATTTATTTCAGAACTTTCTTGAAGGATAGTGCCCAGCCCTATACACAGTACTTCTGCTTGGTTTCTTTTGTAACGTTGCTTTGTGATACTGTTTACACAGAGAGGATCAGATATCATAGTCAGCTTCTCTGTAATAATTTCTCTAGAGCCTGTGGGACTCCTTGTGCCTCTGCTGTACTTTGTTCCAGCCTCAAAACAAGCTGTGCAGTGACGCCACCGGTTTTATTTGTGTGTGTATAATTCTTCCTCACTTAAATTGCTATTTCAACCTAATTCAGTTTAACCTATTTTATGGAAGCTCTCTCCTTTGCTTGTAAAAGCTTTGTTTGCACCCTCATTTGGTGCTGCTCACACAGGAATTTTCCTATTTTCAGAGAACGGTATTGACATTTCTTCCACAAGAAAAGTTTGTGGGAAGCGGGCAATGTATGTCGTCAGGCTAACTAATTCTGAAAAAGCAGACGAGCTTTTTGGCACAGACCTTCTTCAGTTCTGAAATAGCAGCAAACTTTAAAGCTAAATATGGATTGAGAGTAGTTCTGAATTTAAGACAGTATTTCTCCTGCTTAAGTTTAGATTATGCATAAAGGACCATGGCAAGGATTTTTTCCTTTTTATTATAGTCTGCTTATTTGGGATCTGCTTGAAGATTCAGCTATTCAGTGTTCATGGTTTGTATAGAAAAACTTTGAAAAGAGGTTATTAATGCAGTAAAAGTAAAGGAAAAAGTGGAGGCAGGGTGACTCTCCTCCTTTTTGGTGTTCTCGATGGGCAGTTAGAAACAGGTAAGCTCTCTCTGAACTAGTGAGGTAACCTCAACAAGTGAGGTTGAATTGCTTGTATCGTCCTTGACTACTACCTGGGAAATACTGTGTTCCTCAACTATGAATGTGAACATCTGATAACATATTTCTTCTTTCTCTCTAAACAGATATCAATGGTATTTTCCTGGCTACTGTCATAGTTTTCATATTGGGAGTCTTTCTGATAATGAGACATGAATTTGACCTGTCTTTTGCAGCAATCCATTATACAGTCTATAGTTAGATGAGAAGAAAAAACACACTTAGCTCAGTCAAAACTGGTGAAGAGTAATGAAAGGGGAAAAGATTAGATTTTGGGGTCTTTTTGTTTATGTATTTGTTTTTAAGAGAAAACTTTGATCCTTCTGTGTTTCTTGTACAAAAATTCCAGGGATAAATCTCCGGAGGAAAGGAGAGGGGGAAAAACAGTACAGAATATACAATCAGTGGTCAGGATAACTCAGCTTATCTGCCACTGAGATCACTCAGTTTAAAAACTCTTTTGAGCTCAAAAGACATGTCTAATGGTAGAATTCACAATTATAGCATCTGAAATACTTTGTGACTTTGCAAGGTATAAACTGCTGATACTTAATTTAGCTGAGAGAAGGAATGCTTCCCATAGTTAAGTTACTCCATTAATTTTCAATACCTACTAGTATAGCTTTTAACTATCAAAGCATGTAAGGATTCCAAAATAGATTTGATTTTTATATAGCAGTCTTCAGGAGTTTGTTTTGGTTTGCCAAAGTGGATCTTTCACTGATAAAGGTGCTCTGCTCAGTAAGAGACCAGCACTAGAGCTGTCAGGGGTTTTTAAAGTGGTTTATTAATCGAAGGTGCATTGTCTGGCAAAATCTATTTTTAGTTTTATGTTGAATGCAACAAACACTTTTGGAAAAAAGTAAGGATAGTTTTTCAATCTGCATTTTCAAGTATGCAGAAATTCTTCAAAGTTAATTTTCACATTTTTCATTTCAAAACAACATTTTTAAGATGAAATAAAGTTGCATGAAATTAAACACGAAAGCAAGATTGCAATGATTCTACAATTTTCTTGGTGTCGTTTGGTTTACAGTAGACACAAGACTATTTTGGTTTATTTTGCACTGTTCTCTGCCTCCTTGCTTCCTTCTGAACTTACCTATTGAGCTTGAACAATAAGTGACTCATACAGCTCAAAGGCTGTTGCCTTATGCAACCAGCCTTTTTCTTAGACTGCCATGAAACTCAATCTTACCTTTATTTCTTTGTCACTAATGCAGATTAAGAGGTTGGCAGGAACTGTAGGGTTATATTTGGTTTTACAAGCAAGAAATGAGTCATAATGACTTCAAGGAGAAAATCAGAATTTTTTTTTTTAAATACTATAACTAGGAGATGAAAAACTTAATTTGGTAACTGCATTTCTGAAAATAGTAGTATTTTTTATTACATTTAATATTTTATTTTCTCACAAAGTGACCACAGATGAATGTGAGTCATGCAAAGGAGCTGTATGGGTTTTTTTCCGCCCTCCTTTTCCCTGCTAGTGGTCAGGAAAAAAATGAGAATACAGGGAGATTTTTATTATTGCATTTGATTATAGTCTCTTTGAACAACCTGCCTGCTGGCTTTGTTAGGAATTTTATTTAGATGGCAGTGTTTGTTACCTTTGTTAATAAAATATTGTCAAGTAATAGCTTTAAATCTGAGAGTAAAGTTGCACTCTGATAGCTGAGCTGGTTTAATAGCTCACCGCTGCCAAAAAAAATCTGCCTCTCTTTTCTGCCTTTGTGCCCTCTAGCTCAGTTTGTAAGAGCTCTAATCAGAATGGTCTGAGCCCCTTCAACTCAGTAAACCATCAAAATACTGGACCAAGTTATTAAATGCCAGATTAGACAGCTGAATCAGCTTAGCACAAGGTCCAAAGAGCACCAGAGGTGGCTCAATATTTGGAAGGATCACAGAACTGAAACAGTGCACGGAAAGGGTGGGTTTAGGATGCGAAGGGAATCTGATCCTTCATCTTTTGGTGGAGGTGAGCTGTTAAGTTGGCTCAACTGTATGTAATGCTGCAGGTTGGGAAGTTGAATTGTATAATGTGTTTTTCAGGAGAATATTGATGCCCAGAACCTGTTGTGACTTTTTCCTTTGTTTTTCTTTCTCTTCCCCCCCACCTCCCTCCCCCATCATGTAAATCAAAGCTAAATGGGTCATTTGATTTGACCTATCAATTTAAAAATACTGCAAATTATTTTCTTATGGTACATTTCTAGTATTTTATTTTATGGAAAGTTTTGACTTTTCTTTTGAATTGCAGAAGCAGTGACAACCAAAACAAGGAAGATGACCTCACCAAAAACCAAGAAAGGCACAGGAACCAGAAAGAAGGTCCAGAAATAGATGAAACAAAATAAGTTGTCTTCTGTTCAGCTCTCTTCCTCTCGGTTACTGTAGCACTGGAGTCTTTTTTTTCCCTTTTAAATGATAAATCCTGTAAAAAACATTAGACTGCTGTTTGTACCTGTTTTTTTGAAAAATAAATGTTTTATTAAAATATTTGCATAATTTATGGGTACTTTATAACACAGATGCAAAATTTTGCCAACTTTGAGGATGCATTTTTATTTTTTATTTACACAAATTCATATCTTAAGGGCGAGCTTGAAAAAAAAGTGGTTTTTATTGCTTTCTAATGTAAAAATAAAGCCTTATTGTTTAGTTATTGCTGCTTTTTAAGGAGCCAGCAGTGTTGTATCTGATTTGTTTTAATTTTGAGTAAAGTCTTATTGGAGGTTACTTAGATGAATGCGTAGACCATTGCACAGTCAGAGGTCTGAAGTGACAGAGACATCTTTTAAGTATTGCTAAAGTGTTCGAATTAAACAAGAAAACACAACAGCAAAATCACGTTTCACATCTACTCTAGTTTGTTATAAAATGTGTTTAAACAGTTTACAGCAATGTCATGTGCTCTTTGTAGGATAGGTGAATTTTAGTTAATTTTTTGGCATAGTATTTTGTTTGTATCACTTTTCCAATTATTTATAATTTCTTGAGAGAGAAAGAGACCAGAATTTCTAATATAGGGACCTGGGGAGGGAAGAAAAAAAAAAAAAAAAAAAAAAAAAAAAAAGCCCCTCCCCAGCCTCCTCTCAGGTTTTCTTTTTATATTACTTAAAAAACTAGAAAAGTTGCAAAGATGAAGAATGATGTCATCAAGTATCTTGTTCTAGTGAAAGCTTGACTCAGTTGTGCTTCTCATAGCAAATCAATGATTTCCATTTTTCTTAATAGCGGAGAAACAAGTGTGCTTCCAAAAACTTTTTAAAAGCACTTTTTACTGGATTTTAAGTCTTCTCTTCAGACTTTTAAGTCAAAATATGCAATGTTTGATTTTAGTGTGAAATATCCACTACTTTGCATTTCGATTCTGCAAAAATGCATGGAATTTGGGCGTGAACATCATTCTTCTCAGGGAGACTGCTTTATGAAGAAATAATCCATATGAGCCGTGGAAAGTGTATTTGTGTCTATCTCCTGTGTTGTGCTTGCTTGATTGTGTAATGTTTGAGTTGCCACATACTGATATAAATACGTTGTAGCATAAAATCTTGAATGAATACTGGGATTAGGTTTTGAAAAGAAGAACATTAGGTTTTTTTTTTTAAATAAAAACTGGAAGAACATATCTAAAGGGTCTAGTGCCTTCTCTTTTCTGCTTTGATCACTAAGGGCTTCTCTTTTTTGCCTAGGTATTAGCAAAGTGTGGTTGAAGACTTTAAGCCTAAAATTATCTCTTCCTTTCAGAAATAAAAGTGGGACTCCTGAAGCCCCTGTTATGCCTAAATTTCTTCAAACCAAACTTTAAATTTTTTGGTGGTAAGGATCAATTTGTTCAAAAAATGTGATGCACTATTCTTCTAAAGAAAGATTCCTAAGAAAACAAATTCCATTGGCCTTCTTGCATATTCAAAGCTAAAGCCATTCTTTTGTACTTTAGTTGTCTGACATTTTCATTTTTTAGTAACTTATTTTGTGTTAAACTTGCTTTCTTTACCTTCCCAGTTTTCAAGGAGGGTACTTTCTTTTGACACTGCCAAAACGAAGTGCCCATAAAAAAAGGAATTTCATTCTATTTGAGAAGAATGTTTTGTGTTGCAGATTTGGTAAACCCTCCCCTGCCCTCTGCCCACCCCAAAATGCCTTGGTTGAAATTTTTACTGACAAGCGTTCTAAGAACCAAAAGGATGCTTTTTGCTCTACGTAAATGTTATTGCAGGTCTTATCTCTGCTCACAAAAGTCAGTCTGCAAAAATACGTTATTTGCAAGCAAGAATCTCTCTGGCTCCCTGTGAACTGCCGTGACGTTTAAAGTGTGGGACGGTCACGATGAACCAAATAGAAGGCTATGATCAGACCTGCTGTATTACTGTATGTGTAGCTACATTTGTTTTGCAAAACAGTGATGGGGAAATATACCACTTTGTAGGAACAGGAGGGTGTAGTAGATTTTGTTGACATCCCCATTTGAAAGTAAAGTCCCTAATACAAAAGAAGCAAGCTGCCTTTAGACTGCATTTACTGCTCTTGATGACTCCAGTTGTGTGTAAATATTAGAAAACAGCAGGGTCCTGCATTCCAAGAATCACTTGAGCAGTGCCATGAAGACAAGTGTCCTTACTGGTATTGTAGTCATACTCCCCAGCTCTCCTGCTGTTTCTAATCTGTGCGCACAGCCGTGAAAAAACTGGACTGACATTTACAGGCACAGCAGGGAGACACTTGAGTAGGGAATGTTAAAGACTCCGCTACCTATGTTTCAAAGTGGCCACCATGCAAGATAAATCTTCACAGGAGAACTAGTCGGCACTTCAGCTGATGGTGTAATGAGGATATTGATAATGAGGCACAGAATGCTTCTTTTAGTGCTTCAGCATTTAGCAGACAGATTGTTGTTTATATTTTTCCCTAATCTCAAATATCTGGCGAGAGAATCAAGTTCAGCATAGGCATATTTTTCAGATGATGCTGATTTGATAGTTTTTACAAGAATATTTCTGAATAAGTTCAGATCAAATAACAATACCTGGTGTCAGATGCAGCTAGCATTAAGAAGGGGGTCAGTTGCTTTCCTGAGTAGTTTGACAGACTTTACTCATTGTTTTGTCCCAGTGAGCTGCCAGATTTGGGATGCCATAATACCAGTAATGCAATTAGGTTTTCTGCACGTTGTCTGGTTGACTTCTCAGTTAAGAGTTTCTTTCCCTTTGGGAATAAGACTAGACAGACTGTCATTTGCTATTACTATTTCTGCTTAGCATTATCACTGGAGCTTTTTTGTAATTAGCTATCTTAGTTGGCTCTTAAATTTTAATAGCCAATTGAAGCTACATTTTAGCCAAGTTCCATATCTAAATTGTGTTCAGTCCATTAACAAAGTTGGTTAAAAGGCTATTAAAACAAAAGCCAATATATGGTGGTTAGCACTTCCATGTTTGCAGCAGTAGCAGTCCCAGCCTTCAATGAATATTCTCAAGAAATCGTACTTCCTTCTGGCAAAGGAAGTGCACAAGGAATGACCAAACTTAGTTCGAGGAAAAAAGGTTGATTATGCTGAATACTTGAAGAAAAAATAAATTGAAGTGTGTCTTTTCTGGAAGTAGGTGGGAAGGATGGGGGAAGGATACAAGAGGGGGCAGTTAATGGTTCTGCTCAGATTTGACAGGTTCTGCAAAAGCCAAATAAGTGAAGTGATGTTTTTCTCCATTTCAGCCGATCAAAATTATTAGCAAGACCATCTGAAGCACCTTCTGGTGGAATTGTCATCTTGCTGAGTTTAGTTTGTAAAACATCCTGCCAGACATTAAAAAAACTGTAAGCATGCCAGCACATAGGCTCAGAGCACCGCTTCTCTAATTGATAGACCCTATAATTTTCTTTTTTTTCTTAAGACCATTGCTGGGTATCTCAGCCTCCTGATTAATTTAACATAGAATCAGTCTGAATTTTTTATTCCTGATAGCACTAGTTAAAATTAGATTTTTCTCCTCTCTTCTTTCTTAAAGTGTAGACAGGAGATTAACAGCTTTTTGATCATCCTGTGACAAATAATGGCTTTCTTAGACTCTTCCCGCTTATAAAAGAAGATATCTTACTGTTGCGAAGACATCAGATATTAATGCCACTATAGTTTTAATACAGAGTTTACCAGTTGCTGACATGTTGTTTCAGAGATGGTTTGCAGTGCCCTGTCTGGATGATGATAGATAAGTACCAGTAGCTTCATCATAGCAGGTGTGAACTAAATCCCAGATTATTTCTGTGTAACCAGTTTAGCTGATCTATTTTCAAAGAAGTATAGTCGAATTTCTAAATTAGTGTTTCCACAGTACAGCAATTCTGTTAAACAGGCACAGAGCCAGTGCCGCCTGTACATGAATCAGACCCCTGTTGTTTGTAGCTGGACTAGAACATCAAAACTGATATGAAAAACTCTGGGGCAGTAAGTCTTGATTTCTTCACATACCATGCGATGGTGGGTTTTGCACTGATGTAGTACTCAAAGGAAGGAGGAGTCTGTTTTATGTAACTGAGGATTTCCTTGTTGTGGATGTCCTTTCCATAGGCAAGTAGAAAGGAGGTGTGGTTGGATCAGCAGTTATTCTTTAGCACTTCCTACAGTCCTAGCCAGGATCTCATGGATAGCTTTATGCAACTACATATTAACTCACTAGCTTTTTACTTTTCTTCCCTGGTACTTTCTAGACCGAGGAGCTGAGGATCTAGAAATCTATGAATCAACAACTTTGTTGCATTTTAGCCCATTTTTAATTTTTTTGAATGATGCCTCTATACCAATAAGTTTTTTGTTTTCTGCTTTTTTGCAGAGGAGATACATAGTAAAGAGAACATAGTGTTTCTGTGAACTGAGTTTTGCCTGGATGCAGAGTAAGCCAGACACCTCTGAAAAACGTGTGGACTCTGACTGGATGCCGTGGACTGTTTTTCTCTACACTGACGTGCTGTGCTTTCAAGGGTGAAATCTCCATCAGTGTTGCAATTGTACTTCATTCTTGCCATCTATGTGTTTCCTCACCCCATCCCAAACCTGTTTCCTTTCAGACTAGAGCATCTCCTGCCTGTGCAGGCTTCCATATCGGATATTAAAAATGTTTTTTGATTCCTGTCTTGCATTTAGGTCTCCTGAAAATGCATAGGGATAGCTGAAGTACTTCCAAGTGGACCTCAAGTTCCATAAATGCATAAGTTACTGACAAGTGAGAGTGCCCCGGCAGCTTTTTCTTAGCCATTGTAAATACTGCAACAAACCAACATGATGGTTTTGCATTTTCTCCTGAAGGCCCCAAAGGGTAAGGAGTTGTGGAGGAGGCATCGTCTCATGGGAGAAAGACTGCCTCCCATAGTTCTGCCCTCTGTTTTGGAAAGGTCAGCATTCCAACTCTGCAGACTTTAGTTGCTATGATGGGATCTTCCTAAATAACGATAGAAAGAAAAGGGATGAGAAAACAACAAGACAGCCACAAAGTACTGTAGAAGTGAAAAGAAAATACACGTTTTTATGAACTTTCCTGAACTAATTCCTTTGCCAGGACAAGACAGAAGCTGGCACAGTGGTAACCTGCATCTGCAGCTTCTGAGAGAGTAAAAATCCTTCCTTGGCAAACTGAGCAAAAAACCTAGAAAATTAAGGATTAATATGTTCATTTATACAGAACCAGTGTGAACACAATAACATGAAACACAATCAAGAAGGATGCATTTAGAAGACAAAAGAGCCCTGGAAGGGAATGTACTTAGCTTTGTTCAGAATGCAAACTATAACATGCAGTTCTGGGAATTGGTGAATTGCATAGCAGAATATTAAAAGAAATTACTTCATACCACAAGAAATACACGATCTATGCCTTGAAAGCCTAAAGGTTCTTTTCTTTTCCTTTCTGCCAGGAGAGGAGTGGAACACTGGATCTACTTGAAAGTAAGTAACCCTCTGGCTAATTTTATCTGCTGCTAAATCTGAACAAAAATAGTTTTTTCTTATAAACTGAATTCCTTTCAGCAAACAGATATATCTATAAAAGGTAAAAGTGCCTTTTTTCTTGCTTTCTCACTAATCTGTCATTATGGGACTGTTTCCTTTGGAACTGTGAAGGTGGGTCTACACTAGCAGATGTGGAGTCCTCACTTCCAATAATGCTTGGTGGTAGCCATAGTGGAAGTTATAGTGTAAACTACCATATTTAGAAGACAATATGATGAATAAAATATCAGGACATAGTCTAACAAATACTTTCCTCTGTTAGTGATAGAGCTGATCATCTACCATTTACAGGCTTTGTTTTTTTATCGGTGTTGTCAAACCCGGAAGGAGGTGGAATTTAAAGCTCGTCTCTTATCCAGACCAGGTGAACCTTGATATATCAGTTTATAAACTGACAACATTTTTTGTCTCTATTATCTTCATACATTAGCTGGTTGCATGTGTGGCAGTGAGTTATCTCACTGCTTGTTTCCCTTCCTTGAGCTGGAATCCGTCTCGAAAAAATTTTGATACTTGTCATCCATTTCTAGTGTAAGTACAGCACAACATTTTCTCTGAATCTTAAAGGTCTGCATTTAACATGGGAGTAGGTACCAAAAAAAAAAAGAAGGTGGAA